ATATATATCCCCATTTCATTCCCAACTATGTGAACAACATGGTACTATAACACCAGTTAATTCCCAATTATTACAAAAGTATGGTAATATCCCATTTTATTCCCAATTTTGAGAATTATATGGTAATGTATCCCTATCTTACTCCGAATATGGAGACAGCAAGGGGGAGTATTCCCATATTATTCACAATATTGTGAACAACATGAGAATATAATCCCCAAGATATTTCCAAGATTGGGAATAACATGGGAAAGCATTCACAAGATTTTCCCAGTCCTGGGATACATAGTAAAGTGGAACCTTTTTCCCAGAAAAAACCCATTTGTGTAATCATGCGAGGCATCAACCTCCCAATATTTTCCCATACAAGGAATTTCCTGTCCCAGGTTTTTCACAGTAGTGGGAAAAAGTCCCATAAAATTCCCAAATGGGAATCTAAAAAAGTTTCCTGTGAGACTATCAACTATGGCCCAAATCTGTAATTACTGTTGATACAACTACAAGCCAGGAGTACCGTAAAAACTCGTGTATAAGCCGCACCTTTTTGCCGAAATTGTGAGTCAAAAATCGCGGGTGCGGCTTATACACGAGACCATTGCTCTCAAAGGGAGTAAACTGGCTTGTAGGGGTCACAAATTGAACTGAAAACCTTCAGAAATTGACCCTGAATGCTTTGAGAACATTTTTGGTGAAAGCGATGGCGAGGACTTTTATGGTTTCTAAGCAACTACAACAGTTGTTGAACATTGAACACTGGTCGATAGAATGAACTTTAACAGTACATTAATGCTCATGTAAATAGTTTTTGCTTTTCTCGTGAAAATGATACCGAACCGTGTTGTACAAGATTTCGCTTTGAACAAAGATTGATGAGCCGTACTTTCAAACATTGTACAATGTAAATAGTTTTTTGCTTAAACAAGGAATTTCGTTTTCTAATATCAAGATATCTGTACCTGTTACTTGTAAATATATTATTCAGTTTTGTAAAATACAGTCTTCACAAGTCCAGCATTTGTTTACTTGTGTCCTTCTCTGGTGTCCAGACTTCCCTCGTCAAATAAACGCGTGGTTACTAAGCAATCGTTTTGTAGCATTCTCCAGCGCTTTATTTTCGTTCCATCGTTCCATTTTCATTTCAACTGTGGGCTTTAGCAATGAAGAGAACTGTTGTCTTTCGCAGGAAATGGGGAAATTGATTAAAGAGAACCTTTTAAAAGGTATTTTCAGAGTTGATTAACTTATTTAAAATGTCACTGCAAATACACAACATTAAATTTCCTCAAGTTTATTTGTGAACATTTTGATGCGCGAACAAACGATCACCTTTTTTACAAAAGCGCATTTTTGGTTTCTTTTTTTTTTCAAAATCATGCTTGAAAGTTGGGGGTGCGGCTTATACACGAGTGCGGCTTATACACGAGTTTTTACGGTAACTGTAAAAAGATGGCATGTCAATAAGTACTCATATGAGTATAGAACATCTTCCAATCAGGTTGAATATATGTACTATCATAAACTCCCGGTAACATTCAGTAAGACAGCATCCTCCACTCCTTATTTCTTACTTATTAAGGGTGTTATGGCTCAGTCAGGAATTGACATGAATACATATCCAACTAATTTCAATAAATATTACCTAATAGCTTACGGTATTCTTGGCAAGGCAATGGATTTAGATCCAGACAAAACTTATGATTACCATACAGCTTTTGATATTAAGCCGACTGAAGTTGTTTACAATGTTGATCTGGTTATGAACAGAAAGAAGATATTAAACATTGCGCCAGATAAAACAAAGAATAATTCAGCTGCTACTGTAAAGATGGTCAATGATTTGGAAACAAAATTGAGCCCTTATACAACAAATAATGTGAAAAGGGAAATATTTGAGGAATTTTATGATTTAAGTGATGCTGGTATCTATAAACTACAAACAAGACCATCAGGTGTCGTATTTATAGGTTTACTTCCTAACATATATTTCACAAGTATGTTTATTGCCAATATTGAGGAAGGAGGATTGAGGATACAAAGTAAACCAATAAGTTTAAGATTATTCGGTAAAAGGAGCTTTACTCTTTGTGTTGTTATGCAGCTGTGGCTGAACAGAAACATGTACATTAAAACGTTCATGAGAGATGGAGCTGATGAAAAACCACACTTGATTTATGACAAAACAACAAAGAAATTAAAACTCCAAACTTATGGTTTGACTAGGTCAGCTAATGAAACTTCTATCACATTACTAAACAGTTTCAATGGTAAACGTGTTGTGGTTTGGCTGACTAAAAAAGGGACAGGGGGCGACTTTACAATAAAAGCTTCAATCTCAAATTATAGTGGAACACTAACAATAAGTTCAGAATTAGCATCTCAAAGTAACTACACATTCAGAATATTCTCAGAAGATGCAGTGATCCATAAAGTAATGTATTCTCCAAACTTTTACGACTTTGATTCTCACAAATTTCATACAATATTTGTATATGAAAAATTGAGCAATTCTTATATTCTGTAATTTGTCTAAACCAATAATATAATGAGTCAAAAAGAAAACATATTTCGGTTTAATCATATCAATAAAAGCAAAACAAACAGGAAAATCGAAGAACTGTATAAGTATTATCATTTCAAGTTCTGGGTTTATCAAAAAGCCTGTAAACACTTTAAGAAGCTGAATCTCCTATTAAACATAACATCATCTGGCCTGATAGTAGTTGGAGCTGTTACTGGTGGTTTGACAGCCAACCCAGCCATTCTAGGAAGCATATCCGGAGCTGGTTTAGTTCTAAAAACATTCTCTGAGACAAAAAACTATAAAAAAAATTGAGATGGCTCGGTTTGCTTACACTTCTTACGACAAGACATTAGTTAGTCTGAGAACTTCGTTACGAGGTGCTACCTTCATTAAGGACGTTTTTTTGAAGGAGATGACAGTATTGGATGAAACAATTGTGGATTTTGCTCCATTGGTGACAAGATTCGAAAAGCAGTACGCTAAAAAGTTCCTCTCCTGTCCAACAGAAACTGTAAACCAAAATGGCGGACAGTTTGACACAACAACCTCGTCCCCAGGGCCTCTCGCTCAATGAGTAAAATCTATTTCCGGTTAAAGGCTTTCCCTAGTTCCGGTCTAAATTCTGAGAAAGTAACCGATCGACATCGGTCTTGATGAGACTATAAACTCTCTCCCACTAATTTTCATAATATCGCAGTGTATTTTTTGATTGAGTGAGAGGAATAATCTCATATTCTACTCCTAAACTATCAAAAAGTTGTTTATAATAAAATTTACACTAATAAGCCGTCTTCTGCGAACACCTGGTTGGTGGGTAACATTATCAATTAGTTTGAATATTCTCAGGATATTCTCTCTATTATAATAACCAACTTGTATATTATTATTGTGTGCAATATCATTGATGACATTCAAAATATAATATTTTTTGTGGTATACAGACTTTCTTTTTTTCCTGTGTCTATGGGGGGAATGGGGAGGGGAGATGGGAAAATGGGGAGTCCTCCTAAGAAGGTCTGGTGGCCACCAGTTTTGTTAATTTTTTATTTGATATAGCCGTAAGCATAACTATGTATTCCATCCTGATGTTGATGATAGCTATGAATCTGATTTTATTGATGATAGTGCGTTGTAAAATATTGTGTATAATATATAATGGGTTGTTCCAGAAAAAATCCACACCCCCCCGACAGATGGGATTCTGGAAATTCTCGCGGGAGGGGGGTTGAAGACTCCGGAAATCCAGGCGGGAGGGGGGGTTGACCTTAAAAAAGTCTTCTGCAGGGGTCATTTCGACCGATAGTTGATACAAATCAAACGTTTAGTTCGATGACACTTAAGCGCTTTCAGACCCTGAAAATAGTCAAAATGTTTTGTTCATATATTTCTCACCTGACATAAATGATAATCTAAGTTGCTTTACAGGTCCTTTTATAGCAGAAAACGCGAACAAGATACTAAAGAACGGGCCTGAAGGAACTCGTCGCAACGTTGTTGTCACGAAGAGCGTCAAACGCCTGACACATTTCTACTCGTACCCAGAGCCCGCGCGCGAAGAGCGTGAAACGCCTGACACATTTCTACTCGTACCCAGAGCCTGCGCGCCACAGTGTATAACTTTGAAATCTCGGTTGTTTGGTGTAAATAAAAATAAAAAAAACAACTGATTCACGTTCACGCATTCGCACTTTGTATTTTTTAAGGTTTACTTTTTAAATTATCAGCCTAGTTTGCCTCTTTTTCAAATATTTAAAAAGTCCTTGAAAGAAAAACGTCAAATTCCAGTGTCTTTGTTGCAAGGTTTGTTTTTCTGGCTAAATAATTTCCCTCAGGTTTGTGTATTTGACCCCTCCGAGACCTCTGCTGCCGTACTAGCTTCTGCTTTAACAGATGCTTATTACTTACAGCCACAATTTATTTCGTATTTACCTTTACCAGAAAAAAAGTGAACATTTAACTACAAGAACGAGTTTATTTGCAAATATATGGTGCAACAAACATGTATAAAATAGTGTTACTATAAAAATCAGTCTCTTTTTTTTTACAACTATGTTCCCAATATCTCTGTGGGTACGAAATTACCTTGAAAATTTGATCAATTTTGTACTGTAAAGAATTTTAAATCAAAACTATTCTATTTATAAACAAAAACAACACTTTCGCTAGTGAATAACTGCAGCCAAGATACTCTTTTGTGCTGTGCTCGCCGCTCGCGCTGGCTTACAAAATCAATGTGTTAAATTCATATTTCTGATGCCAATTAGAAAGATATCGATCGTCAAAAATCATAAACTGAACATATTTTTATCAAGTTCGTATAATTTCTACCGCTGAACAAAAACTAAACTTTCACTAACAAATAACTGTAGTCAAGATAAACCTTCTTGCTGTTAGCACACTGGCTTACTAAATTGTTGTGTAAAACTATTTATGCCGCAAACTTAAGAAAAAACACGAGCTTTCATTAAATTGTCTTTGACTACCAGTCCTCATTGCACACCTGTCTGGCAAATATGTCGGCTTCTTCACTGGCATCAAATGATAGCTCTTCAGAGGAGTCTTCGTGCTCCATTTCAATTTCACTGCTTGCTTTCGTCTTTCTTTTTACTGAAGCAAGCGCCTGGGTTCGACAAGTGGTCAGACCAGCAACCGATTTTCGCAAACGATCCTGGGCCAATTTTAGCTCTGTTAAGGACTTCTTCAGTTCTTCTTCTTTCTGCTTGATTGTCGTCTTAACTTGTGGCAAGAGTCCTTGGGCGCACAGCGCAGTTATCTCATCGTTTATGGACCTTATTTGCTGGTCTTGTTCTCGTAATAATTTTAAGTTTTTGTTCACAGTTTTCGCTGACAACGCTAATTTGTGCCCCGGAATTTCCTGCGACAGAGATTTCGCCAACTCTTCTTCTCGCTCTGCATCTCGTATGCAGAGTTCGGTGGCATGCATTTGCCAGTGAGTGTCAATGATGCCATGAAGTTCTTGCTTTGAGTACTTTGAAAAGCTGGGCGATGAGCACAGCTCTTGCGCTTTCTCGTTCCAGAACCTGTAGTATTCCTTTCTTCGATCAGTGGCCTTCTCTATCGTTGATTCTGTGTATAAATACACTCGTCCACGTGCTGCGCTGTAATCTGCAGCTGAAGTTGTCGGCATTCCAGAAGTCTGAAAGTATTTATAGACAGGCTGTTGACGTAGACGCTTTGGCTTCGGAGAATTCAGCGTACTCGAAGGCCTTTTCCCCGCCGACTCTGTTTGCTGAAGATATAGGTTGAGCGAATCATCCTCATCGTGGACGAGGCATTTTCCAAGTTTGACAAAGGTTTCTTGTCCAGGGACCACAGGAATACGTGCACTCTCTTGTTTTCCAACAGGCTTTGTGAATAAGAAGTTAAGGGGAAGAAAATCTTTCACTACTTGCAGAACATCGTTTCTTGTTGTAGTCAGATCGATTTCCTTTTGCTCATCAGTGATAAAAACTTGACATTTCAGCTCTTCCCCGACAAACACGTTGACGTCGATATGAGCTGCCATGTTCTTTTATCGAACGCAAATGTCCGGAAGCGAACACAGCTAATTCGACAGTGCTGTGTGTTGTCAAGTCTACTACTACTGTATTACTTAACCAGCTTTTGACAACTTCCTTCTTTAAATGACCAATTAAAAGGTGAGAAAAATCGGAAATCTGTCACTTTTTTACGAAGCAGCTATGATGACGGCTGTTATCTATTTTCATTTCCGGTCACTAATTAGATAATTCCAATGAGATTTATATTCATGTCCATTTAGACGGTTCCCAGTTCCCAAAACAAATTTGTCACCCCAAGCGATGTATACTTTGCTCGAAAAAAGGAGACTCAAGTAGGATATTAAAATGGATAATATTTTTGTAACAATGTGGTGCATGCGATTTTCCAGCTTTTCCGAGTCGTCTGTAGCCTTAAAAGTGTATAAGCATGCGAATCAAGGTGACAAAACAAAACTTGTGAAATTTAAATTAAAGATTCACGTGCGCACTACGTGTTTGTATGTTGACTTGAAAAGGACTACTGTTTGTTTTGATTCGCTCACTCAAGCAACAGTAGCTCTATAATCGTCTCGCAACAAATTTTGAGTAGTCAGTATTGTAGGCGATCTATAAGCGACATGTCTTCGCGATTTGCTTCGAAAACGACTGTTGTACCACCAGTCATAAGCACTTTGGGTGAACCACAACTGATGTTTCTGCGAAAAGCAGACTGCACAACAGATCCAACTTTGATGAGAAATATGCCTTCATTGAACACTTGCCAAAGAGTTCGCTCGGAGTTATATAAAATGCAAGAGGGTTCATCGGATGAAGTTCAGCAACAGTGCAAGCCGGTTGCGAGATGGCAGAATTTTGGCACGTTTTCCAGGGATGACATTGCTTATTTCATCCAGCAGTACCAAATCAAGGCTACAAAAAAGGATGTGCAAGATGAAGAAGCGTGGTTTGGTCAATTGTTAACCCTTTACTCTTCTAAAGCAAACGATTCAATCGTATGTAATGCGAGAACTTTTATGGAACACATTTGGATGTCTTCACCAAACTCTACCGTATTCTCCAGCGGAATTTCAGCAGAACAGATAAGTAAATTGTGTTGTGATCGTTGGCTATCATGCGACATAATCGATGGTGTCTTTGCAATGATTAACCAAAGTAATGACACTCACTACTTTGCAGTCTGTACTGAAGCATTAATTCACTCAGTGCGAGCTCAACAGCGACTGTGTAGTACTATTACTAACAAACTACCACAATTGGAATACATTCACTTTGCCCTAAACGTAAAACGAATAAATGGAAAGGTGTTTGTGGGAAATGGAAATCACTGGACCTACTTTGTGTTTAGTACCTCACTTGATGAACTCTATTACGGTGATAGTCTTGGTTGGAATTTGCCTTCAAATCTTCGTACAGTTATGAAACCAGTCTTTGAAGCACTTTATACGTTCAGTGGAAAATCCTTTACCAAACCTCGTTATCCGGTCCTTATGCATCAACCAGGGGTAGCATACAAACACAAGTGTGGTAGTTCTTGCTTCAAAGCTTTTCCACTTCAGACGTGTGGCTCTGCATGTGGTCTGACACCAGTTTTCATGGCGGCAATAGCTGGAAACAGAGAAGAACTTTGGAAGCACATGATTACAGAAAGAACTCCTAATCAAAACGTATTGAAGGATGTGAGAAAAATTACGGGAGTTACACAAAATTCTCCGTTACTGAGAGCAGCTATTATGGGTTGGTTTGTTAGCTCTGCAGTTACGCTTGATGCACATCTCATCCCTCCCTCTTCTATCTGTAACACTGCGGCAGATAGTGACACAGCAAGTCCATCAAGCACTAGCACTGAATTCAGTCCGTCAGCCTCTAGCATGGCAAGTCCGTCAGCTGCTAGTAAAACAAGTCCTTCAAACGCGAACACAGCAAGTCCGTCAGCTGCTAGTAAAGCAAGTCCTTCAAACGCTAGTAAAGCAAGTCCGTCAGCTGCTAGTAAAGCAAGTCCTTCAAACGCGAACACAGCAAGTCCTTCAGCTGCTAGTAAAGCAAGTCCGTCAGCTGCTAGTAAAGCAACTCCTTCAAACGCGAACATAGCAAGTCCGTCAGCTGCTAGTAAAGAAAGTCCTTCAAATGCGAAAACAGCAAGTCCGTCCAGCACTAGCACAGTGAGTCGATCAGACACTAGCACAGCAAAATGTACTGCGAGTCCCTCTGTCATTTTATCTGGCAAAAGGTTTCTTCCATTTCCTGGTGTTTCTAAATGCTTCTACAAGCAGCAAGGAGAAATTTGGGCCAAAAATAATTCGCGCAATTTAAATCGAATGGAAACAATTTGGATCAAGAAAAATGGCGAAACCATTGGCGAGTGCAAAGAAAGAAATAAAGGAACTCTAGAAGAGAACATTGCAGAACTGGAAATTGCCATAGGGATCGAGAAAAGAGCTAAAAGGGTTGCTGAACTGAAAAGCATTGTAGAAGTGGCCAGGGAAATAATTTCATGCCTTGTGGTTCCTACCCACGGAGCGTTTGACCTTTACTGGAAGCACAAAAATTTTCATCTTGGAACTGAACATAAAGCAGTTTATAGGGCAAGTGACACTTTTGTTACCTCAAGTCAGCACCTAAACATTGCTCAAGTTATTGTTTGCGGGAAAGCGTATTTATGTGAGGCGCACAATACTGACATTATTAAACTTCAGGAGACACTTACCTTAATGACAAAGGAACATTCAGAGAAAACGTTTTCTTCTGAGGTTCGCAAGCGACTTAACAATTCCTTTCAAACGTCCTTAAGCTGTCTTGACACTAAAAAAGACAGAGACATTTTTATGGGAATTTTTGCTCATCTGACGAGTGCCACCAATGTAATGCGACTACGGACTCTTCAAAGCCGGAGAGCAATAGTGCGTCAAGCAGTAAGAACCGATTCTCTTTTCAGAAACTATGAAAGTATGAAGACATCAGTCCTCTCTGTTCGCAATGATATGACTAATAAACAGCAGCAGGAGTTTGAAAGAAAGAAACTGAAAAACTTATCTGCAAAATATTTCAAATCCATATGTGATGGTCGTGGTCGGAGACTCAAATGCGAAGAATTTCCGGAACTCCCCGCTCTGCTGGAATATGCCTTTGGACAACAAGACGTCCTTGCAAGGGGTGGCGGGAGACTAGAGGCGCACTCAAAATTGTACGAAAATACGCTCTATAAGGCAATAGATAACAAAACGATAATGCGTGAAGCTCGTGATGTTATTCTCGCTTTGGCGGATGAAAACTTCGACGTCAGTCTCTCCTGTCTCTATACGTACACTATGAATTATAAAAAAGGCACAAATCATGCAAAGAGGCATCATGTTGGAAGAAATGTGAACGCAAAAATATCGCTTCACAAGGCGCCCAGCACAGGAGACTTTAAGCATCCGGTTAATGCACATTGGTCCACTTCACATGTCAATTTCATTTGTGATGAAACAAATCAGTACGAAGCTTCTTGCATGATAGACTCCAAGGATGCTAAGTGCATTATCAATGGCGAGTTACCACCTGTTCTCAAACCTGGAAAGACGTGGAAAAGTATAGAATATCCAGATCATACCTTTGACCAATCGAGGAACAACGCTGTGACTCCAATAACTCACTTATTTTTACAGTAAAAAATTTTACCTTTTAACACGCCTGCTCTTAACTCTGCCAATCTGAATATACCCGGAACTCAAACAGAGGTTCAAGTTACAAGAACAGGAAAAGCTGTGACATTGATAAACTTGTTGTTATATGAGCCAGAAACTGTACTAAGAGTTTTTAACGAAATATTCTATCTCATGTCCCTACCAGAACTGGATGCGTTTTTTCGTAACCCAGAAACGCTGCAAGTTAAGGAAGTTTTCATTTTTGTTGTGGACAATGGTCCATCAGAGGCACCCGCAAGTACCATTGTTCAGATGTTACTTGCAAGACTTGTTAAGTTTTTAAATCTGGACAAAGCTGTTCAGCGATCTTTTGCGGAATATTTGAGCAAACGGAACTTTGTAGAGCATTGTCATGCTGCAGAGAACAAAGGTCTTGAAAGGCATGAACCTTTTAGCTCCAAACAAATCAACCCATGTGCAGTTCCAGGAACCGATGCACACAAAGAAAACATGGAGAAAATGGCGACCGATGTGAGAGCGGCAATAGATGGCACCAAGTTTAATAAAGAACCCATTCGTTGCTTCCGTGGCGTTGGAGATCGTCTCGTTTTTAACGATGAAGAAGGGCTCAAGTACTTCTCTTCCCTGTGCAATGATCGCAAAGAATCGTGTGATATGCATTACAGTGCTGTCAACAATGGTATATATGGTTATCTTGTGCAGAACTGGGGTGTTGAAGAAAATTTCACTGGAAATTACGCTGATGACTATCGTTCCCTGAAGTCTGACGCATCGAGGTGCAAATATTCCGTTTCGGTCTATCGGCAAGATGACAAATGGCGTGGCAAGATGCAAGAGAAGTTTGAAAGGGAGCCGATTCCCGATCTCTTGAGGTTCGAACACACCCGGGCCATGCATTATCTTCCATACGAGGTTCGCAGAGATTTGCCTGTAGGAGAATGGGATGGAATTACACAACTATTTCTCCCCTCAGATATCCTTGATTTGGCACAGAAGGTGTTTTACCCTAAACCTTCTCAAGACATTTTATCCGCCACTGCATTCTTAGCGTGGATTCCACGGCATCAGGCAGAAGAATTTTTCACTTGTGGAAGCAAGGATGCAGAGCTATTAGCTGAAGAAGATAATTCCAAAGAATTTTGGTCCAAACATTCCCTCTTCATCGAAAATACTCGAGAGGAACTTGTAGCAATTTGTAGTTCAAAAAAACTGTTGGAAACAGGAAAGAAACACGAACTTGTAGAACGTATTGTGAAAGCAACAGAAGGGGAAAGTTCTTGGAAGGGTTCCTGTGACATATACAGCGGAAGCCTCTCTCAAGTCCCATCGTCCGTAGCACAGTTAAACAAGCAGCCAGTGCGTTTTCTGCGAGCAGTTTTAAGATTCCATGGGTTTTGTCCATTGGGCACAAAGGACGAACTTATTATTCGAGTCGGATTGTTAAAGGGCGGTCAAATCCAAACTGCGTTTAGTAGAGAAAGAATGGAACTAGTGAAAAGGATTTCAATTCTGAGGGACATTTACAAACTACTAGATCAGGAAAAGGAAACTAAACTGTATATTCATAAGAGACGCACCTTCGGTTCAGACGGTGCTGTTCTGTCAACTAGAGACAAGTGTGGTCTCAAGAAAGTTGTCCACGAGGACAAACTTGATGTGCAAGGTACCGTAAGCGACATCCTTGATCGACTCGAGCAAAGTTTGCTAAAGCTCGAGAATGCTGCTGTTGAAAAAATTGGAAGAAGTGTAAAGAGTCGTAAAGAAATGTCTCCTGCCCCCTCCAAAAGGAGAAAGTACCAGGCTAGCGAGGAAGAGCCAAGCAGAAAGTCAACCAGGGAAAAGCAAAAACCAAAGAAATTGGAAGAAGGCTGGGTAGCAGAAGAGCGAGAACTTATCACAAAAGTAGGAGCCAGGATTCATGTGCTATGGACTGAAAATGAGCTTAGAGGAACCAAGTTCAAACCAGGCTGGTATGAGGGTGAAGTACAACAATACGATGACGACGATGTTATTCGCGTACCTTACAAAGACGGGTTGCGAGGTTCGACAAGGTTATGCTAAATTGAAGTAAGTTTAGAAGAATATTGTTGAATTCGTTACAGAGGTTCGTTATAAAATAGAGGTTCCGCTGTGTTTACTTACTGGTCAGAGAATTCTCAGTTAGGTTGTAAATTCCGCATTTCCTATTTAGTCTAGTTCAAAACACCATTACAACTTGTTTTTTTGAGATTTTTTAAAGCCTTATGAAAAAATGTCCCCAAAAATTAATAGTTTTTTTGAGAGAACAAAACAAACAGGCGCCAAATCTGCAAGAGCCTGGTGAAGAATTTGTTCATAGCGGACTTTGTATTTGGATGAATCTGAAAGCCATCTTAATCCGGTTTTAAAATAATTCGTTGGATGAACATGTTAAAATTTCATTTCGTGAATGGGAGCTATTTCAAGTGCTTTTGTCTTGGCTGCATTCTCTTCAGCATGACTGTTGCCTCTCCGATTTAAACGAAAGCGAAACGACCTTTGTAACTATGGCGGACTAAGAAAGCTGTTTATAACGCGAATTTGAACTTCCCTTCCAGTGCACAGTAGAACTACAGATCTTGAAGGTAGGATGTGCAAATGAAGTCATCCATTCTTTAAGTTAGAAAATAATTGTAACGATTAACAAATGTAGACTTTCGTTCTTTGAAAGATTTCGTTGATTTACAACAGTTACAAAATCTCGATCTTCAGTGGACGAGACTGACACGCATGCTGCCGGCTGCCTTATGTCTCGTAAAGGAATGGATATTCATATTTAGCGCAAAGAAAGAAAAAGGTCACTGATTTTTATAAGCTAAGAAATTATGTAAACACTCGTTCAGGTGTCGTTCGCATTTTTGTTTTTTGCTCCTTTCGTTTTTAGTTCCACGCGATAGAATTCTTAGTTTAATATAAGCTGAAGCTTTAGAAATTAAAACAAAAACATTTAGACGTGATTGCGTGTATTTTCCATTAAAAATAAATTAAATTTCAGCCTTTTATTTTTTTCCCGGAAATCCAGGCGGGAGGGGGGGTCTTCCACCTTGGAAATCCAGTTGGGAGGGGGGGTCTTGTGCTTCAGGAAATCCAGGTGAGAGGGGGGGTTAAAAAAGGACCCCATCCGTCGGGGGGATGTGGATTTTTTCTTGAATAACCCAATATATAATAATGGTATCAGTAAAAGGTGATAGAGGATTCCATCCAATCTGAGAACATAATGATGGTCTTGATGAAACCGATTTAACCGCACAACAAAAAGCATTTAAAAGATATAGAATAACCGAAAAAGGTAAACGGGGAGAAAAATGGTATCGTCAAAGTATAGGAGGAAAACAGAAATTATACGAAGCTTAACTTAGGTTTTTGAATAAACCATATCACTGTGACATATGTGACAAAAATATTTTAATCAAAAGCAAATATCTACATATTAAATCACAAAAACATCTTGATAATAGTCTACGTTTTGATTAGAATACAGTTTAAATTAGATCATGAGCCTCATTTTTGAGGCAGATGATTTGTCAAATATTTAGTGCGTTTGATACTTAAAAAAATATATATCCTATTTATATAAATGAGTAAAAAAGTTGATCTGAATAAGTTATCGCCTCAAGAATTGCTTGCTTATGCCCAAAATCTTGTTAAACAGGAAAAAAGTAAACCCTTGCCAAAATCCAAACCAGTCAAATCTATCATAATTAAACGATGTACAAAACTATCACAAATATTGTCATCATCCGGTAAAGTACTTAATTACCCCCCAAAAATTGTATTGATAGCTCAAATGAGAGATGAGGAATTAAATATGACATCTACTCCTGGTAAATTAAAATTGATGTTTGCCGAACTATTTGATAGACGATTAAAAGCAATGCCTGGAAAAAAGACAAAGATTCAAATTACAGTTTTAGCTGAAGTAAGATATACAATTGGTAGCACATCAGAGTCAGAATCAAAGGAGTGGGGTCCATTTCATATCAGTATCCCAAAATTGACAAAAAGTGATATGTACAAATTATTCATTTACATATTACTAACAAATGGATTTTCAATTCTATCTACTCAAACGATCGAAGAAGTTGGAGCTAAAATTATTACTCATAAAAAGAGCTTCTTCAAAGATCATAAAATAGGACGATTAAAATTAGAATCATTCTTTCCTCGATAATCGAAAAAAATTAAAGGTTCGTGATGATTACACCTGTGTTATTGATTATATCTGGTCTGAAATTAAAGGTAAACATGGATTTAAAAAGTATACATATGACTCATTAGCTGATGAATTAGCTGATTATAGTACTTCAAGACCATTTATGTCAACTCAGGAAATTATTAATTGGGTCAAAGAGCATCATCTATGTAATATATCTGTTCATTCTTATACAGCAACTTATACTAAATTTATGAGTTATATCAGTCATGCTCCGGATGTTGTTTAATATTCTTTTTAAAAGATCATCATGTACATCCAATAACTGATCCTGAATTAAAAAAGGTAGCTTCATCAAAAAATCAATTTGGAACAATTAATTTGTTTGAGTATATGTCTGAATTGAAATGGACAAGATGACATGATAAATTCACCATGTGTGATAATCTTACTCCAGAAACCCAAAATAATATTCTTTGTCCTAAAGAGTTAGATGTCAGAACAGCTATATGTCAATATATGCAAACTTCCGGTTATGTTGAGTACATGCATTTCAATAATAATGGCAAACTCAATGGATTTCTCGATCATAAAAATAATATGTATGTTGAAAATAATGAATATGAAATTCGTAAACAAATTTGTGAGCAAATACAGCAAACACATAATATTCACGATTTCAATTGGGCCAATCAAAGTTGGACTAGTTTAACTAATTCATTGTTCAAAACTATGGTTGGAGATCTTCTAGAAAGTAGTTATAATAACAAAACCAGAGAAATATTAGACAGATATTATCCAATTGCTTTACAATGTTGCAGCTTTGATGGTAAACCTGAGGGTTTGGTCAATATCGATATCTGCAAACAATTCCCATCAATTCTGATACTAAACAGTAAAACTATTCATTACGGAATCGCGCCTGTAGAAACGCGTCGCTAGTAAATGCAAATTTTTCTGTCAATCAAATGTGTCCTATTATTTGTAGGTGGAAATTGGTGAAACATGGTTATTGTTTTGGAGACATTAAAAGAACAAAAGATAACAGAAAGATCAAGTTATGCGGTCTTAAAGCGTGTTGCGTGACTTAAATCAGTTGCAGCATTTCTCTTAACTCTCCCGCATTAAAACGTTGGAATGAAAAGTCTAAGCTTAGCTTTTAAAATCTTGATAGCCAAATAAAAAGGGTGCCCCAAAAGGCAAGCATTTGGGAATTCAAAATCGATATTTTTGTGTCCAGCAAAATCCAGCGGATGAACAATAATTTGCATATAAGCGTAAGTGAAGCGAAATAGATACAAATTGCCGTGGTTGTAAACACAACGTTTCCTCGAAGTTTTTTTCCTTTTGAAAGCGTAAATTTGCAGGAAAGAGCTCAGCTTGCACAAAATAATATAAAATGAAACGAATCAAATCGAGAAGTGGTAAAAAAAAAAGTCAGGATATTTCAGTTTGATGGAAGGTAAGTGATTGGGTAGGTGATTTGCATACTCATAAAACAACGTCTAGCGCAGTTCAAAACCGTTCGGCTTCCTGAATTGCTTTTCTGGAATTCTATACATTCTGCTGGCCTAAATCTTAAAATATCTTACGAAGTCAAAATATTTATCACGTTGAGCGTTTGCATTTCCTTATAAAACAGAGAGTAGCGCAAAAGCTTCGATCTATTGATTTTCTTAAGTTAAATTACCTTTGTATCGTGGAAACAATACCCTAACACTTGAGTCTTGAATCAAAGGATGCGACATGCGTCGGCTTCCTTTGTGAGCGCGCAAATAGTCATGGGAACCGCGATTTTGCAGGCGACACGGATCTACAGGCGCCGTTCCGTAATGTCCAATCTATACAATTCATGATAATATCGAAAAGTTTGAAGGGTAAACAGGAAATGGATAACGATATCCGCTTATATTATCCCGAATTAAACCACAATGGAGAATTCTATATTGACACATTTACAATCAAGCAATTTGGTAATCAGATCAAATTCCCGAATGGATTCTATCATGTATCTCTTATTGATTTCTTTGTTTATGAATGCGGTATGCTAATCTCAAATATGAAATACAAATTAATTGCTCGTCACGGTATCTAAGGGGACACAGATTTATGTTATATATCTTCAAAACATTTCCAGAACAAACTACGAAAAAGATGGCAAATTCATTTATCGGCGATCTTGGGCGTAAATACGATCGTACTAATTATGGATTTACATGCCAAGATTTAGAAACTGCTCAAAATATTTGGACACAAGGATTAACTGATGGTAAAAATATTACAATTGATAATTTTGAAGATTTGTATCTAATTCGAGAGCAGAAAATTAACAGCAGAATATTATCAGATCATACAAGTATCAACAGATATATCATATCACTATCAATTCTTCAATGTCTTCATCTACTAAAAAATAATTGGACTAAACATTCGGAATTATATTCAATCAATACCGGTGGCTTCTATATGACCAATCCAAAACACTCATACAGAAACAAAGCTGATGTCAAATTCGATGTCAAACATATCGGCGAACCATTTGTTACAAATGGCACACCAAACTACTTTGATAAACATTATTGCGAAAATCTGGATTATAAAAGTTTCACAGGTAAAGTTAGCAAAACTGGAAAAATATATTACGGGCAGGCTGGATGCGGTAAATCATGGCGTATTTGTCAATTAATATACGAAAATCGTGACAAATGTATTGTATTTTCTCATACCAATAAAGCTGTGGTTAATATTAAAAATATTCTAAAAGATAAACATAAATTATCACCAATTGAAGTCAATAAATTATGTCATACATTTGAATCCTACTTTTTTGATAGCACAAGAGGCATTAATGATCTGAAAGATAAAATTGTGTGTGTTGATGAATATTCAA